TAAAATTATATATTTATAAGTTAAAATTAAAATTAAATAAAAGAAATATTATTAAATATGAATAATTTTAATAATTTATTTATTTCTTATATTTTAAATTTAATTTTAGATTTTGTTTATTTTTTTAATTTTGATTTTGATTTTTAGATTAATTATTTTTCTTTAAAAAAATTAATATTTGTATTTTTAAAAATTCTATAAAAAGGTAAGTAAGCAGACGATTATATTTTTTTTAAAAAAAAATAAAATAAAATAAAAAATATTAATTAATTTCCTTTATATTTTACTTTTGATCAAGAATAAAGATTTCTAGATCCTATAAAAAAAGGTAATCTTTAATTATTATAATTAAACACTCATTTGAAAAAAAAATAAAATTTTGCATTCATTTTAATAGTATATCATATGTTATGAATTGATTTAAGCTTATTTGAAAGTACAAAACTATCTTAATCTGTTTTACTAAGTTTAACAAAAATTGGTATAGTTGATATCAAGATATTTATATTTAAAGTTCATTACAGCAAATTGAAACTTTGCATTTTTACCAAATTATTTAATTTCCTAGAAAAAGAGTTAGTAAGAGTTGCTGATGTAAGAAATTTTATTTATTTAAATAAGTTATTTTAGTGATTTAATACTCAAAGAAGAGCAGTGTAACATGTGTTAACATTAATGTAATATTAACAATCCTTTATTTCAGTTCTGGTATTTACATCTACTTGAAATTCTTCTATAATGAACCTCAAAATAATTGCTTACAGTTTTTCTCAAATATCAATAGATCAAGTGATTAAATCTGGATGTTTTTGATCTTATTTAAAAAAGCTGAATCTATTGAATCTGCATATAAATTAATAGGAATTGGATTGGTAGATAATAAGATATTCATGTTTAAATTTCATTATGGTAAATTAGAATTTCACATTTTTATTTTTTATTTTTTTTTATTTTTTAATCTTTTTTTTATTATTTTTATTCCCCCTCCATCAGATTTTTTATTTTCTTTTATTCTCCTTCCACTGGACTTTATTATTTTTATTCCACTACCATCAGACTTTTTATTTTCTATTTTTTTTATTATTTTTTTTTTTAATTTATTTTTTTTTAAAGTTCTTTTTTGTATTTTCTTTTTTCTTTTTTATTCTTTTTCATTTAGTTTTGTTTTTTTTATTCTTTTTTTATTTTTATTTTTATTTTTTATATAATTTTGTTTTTTTTTTATTTTTTAATTTTTACATTTCATTGTTTTTTTTTTGTTCTTTTTTGTTCTTTTTTTTTATTGTTCTTTTTTTTTTTTTTTATTTTTTATTTGTATTTTATTTTCGTTTAGTTTTTTTATTTTATTTTTATTTTTATTTTTTTAGTTTTAGAATTTTTTTTTTTCTTTTTTGCTTTTTTCAAAAAAATAAAAATAAAATAGATTTCGGTGGATATGGCATTTAATTAGTAAAATGCGATATAATGATTTTTTTTAATTATAAAATAAGTAATAAATAAAAAAAAATAAACGCATACTAATGGCGGAGTAAACTATCCGTACAGTACTGGTCCTATAATAGGGCATAGTTATTCTAGGACAAGTACGATGCCAAATTTCACAAAACTTACTGATCTGCAACATCGTACCGTACCGGTTTTCCATATACTCGTAGTCATTGCCCGGAAACTTTAATTTCAGATACTGCGCCATTCTCGCAGCAAACATATGATTGATCAACCGCATTATTTTTCATTATTGATCGACAAAATAAAGCTAATTCAAAAATGGCCTGGCTTCACTGAAAACAGTGATATATGGTCTTCAAATACATCTATTTCTAGTTTCATTAAATTAGAAAATGGAGATGAAAGGGTTTTCTTTGAATATCGAAATTGGTTTAAGGTAAAATTTATTTATTTTTCACACATGTAATCACGAGTCATTTATTGTAACCATGTTATTGTTGCACTATTTGTATCATGTATAAATATGGACTTTCTATGACTTTCGAAACTCTTCCATGGTTTTAGATTTATTTTTTATACCGTCCATCTAAAAATAATATTTCGATACCGTAATTATTAAGGGAGGAAAAAATTAAACAAATAAGAAAAGCTAGGTTACACTATTTGAACGGCTAAAAAAAAAAAGAATCGCAAATCGATTTTTAATTAAATGTTAGAAATTAGAAATATCTTATTAATCGGAAATGCGGGTAAAGGAAAGTCTACCCTAGCAAATGTTATTTCCGGAACTAATGAATTTGAGGAAAATACACATCGTATTCGAGGTACTAGCGAAGCAAAGTCCATAGAGTTTGATCACAGAGGGTTAAGATACCGTGTCATTGATACCGTAGGAATTGGAGATTCTATCAGGCCAACAGGAGATATAATAAGTAAATTGGGAGACAAAGCTGATGTGGTTAGTGAAGGTTTAAATCAAATATTATTTGTAACTAATGGTCGCTTTACCAAGGAGGAAGTTGAAGCTTTTAATTTACTAAGCAAAGCTATATTTGATGATCAAGTAACTTATTACACTACTATTGTCTGCACTAGTTTTTCTAGATTTGAAGATGAGGCTGCATGTGAAGAGGATCTTCGAACGTTTCGAGAGGAAATCTCAAAACTTTCGAAATCGCTTGCTTCGTCTGCGACTATTTACGTGGATAATCCTCCATTGCAAGGTCGTTATAAGACAATAGCAAAAGGTTCACGAGATGCATCTCGCAGGATCTTGTTAGAGCACTTGAAAACCTGTCAACAAGTCTACAATCCCGAAATGCTTTCTAAATTTAGTAAAATGATCGATGAATTTAACTCAATTGTCCAAGAAACGATCGAGGCAATGAACGTTATTGATTATCAGTTTAATAACAACGCAAACCATGTAGGAGAATTCATCTTTGAACGGGAAAATATAGTCGAAATGATTGAAAAGCGTAGAGAATTAGTAAAAGAACAAATGAAAGACCGATTTACAGCTAGTACTTTAAGTCATGCTGCTATATTAAGTGGTAAAGCTTTGGCGATCTCGGGAATATGGTTCCCACCTGCTTTGGTGCCAGGTGCTGTTATATCGCTTAGTGGTTGGCTGAGTGCCGCTGGTACTGAATCTGTTGCAATAATTAAGGAAAATGAAGTGTACAAATTCTTCGAAGAAAGCCTTGTGAGAGACAAAGAAAAACGTGAATTATTAGAACTCTCACAAATAGAGTTAAAAGAATCCATTTGCAAATTAAACGAAATCCGTCCTCGCTTCAAGAGTTCAGAATACAAAAAACAGAACTTGGACAAAAAAAGAATTGACATAATTAAGTCTGTGCTGAGTAGTTTTCTGGGAGAAGAAGTTGAAACTGATTTATCTGAATTGAAATTAGACGATAACGAAAAAACTGGACATAACACTGGTTTGAAAGCAGTGAGAGCTGCACTGGAAGCTATTTGTAAGCTTGTGCCGTCTCCTTTATCGTTTTATTGTATTTATCGGGATCGAAAGGAAATTGAAAACCGTACTTCTTTGGATGATATGGATAAGATAATTAAAAGTTGGAGAGAAGAATTAACAGTTTTAAAAGAAAGAGAACTATTACTAAACGAAGAATATAAGAAAGTTAGGTGGTGTAAAGAGGAATTATCAAAATTATCATCAGATGTTGATTAAAAAAACCCTATCAAATAAATTATGTATTTTTTTTTTTTTTTATATTATGTTCTATTGTAACGAAAATTTTTTTATGTGAAATAAAATGCGATTATTGGAATGCTTGTTTTAAATATTTAAAATTACTCGTAATAAAAGTTAATGGAGCAGTTAGGAGGATAGAATGATTTGGATTCTCGCGGAATTTACTCCATATTATCTTTTTACACGAACGAGTACTGACTATGTCGAGCGAGTATACTCGTCGATATCATTTCAAATAAGTTTATTTCTCATGTGATCATTTTAATTATTAAAACCTATAGAACGCTTCTTATTTACATTCCAGATTCTTCGAAATATTTAAAACCTGCCGAAACCTGCCGAAACCATAACCGCTAAGACTATAATCAAAGATCTAATTATCTCATTTGGAATAAACCATGCGCTTTGTTTTATAAATATTAAAAGAGAAATAAAATTTAAGCTAGTTCAATTGTTTTTTCATTATTCCTTGTTATACACGAAGGGATATCATCACTGTATTCGAATTCCGGTGAATATTGGTATCTTACTATGGAATAATTGAAGAAAAAAATTTCAATATTTCTTTTTATAAAAGGAAAACAAATGAACACGTTCATTATCTTACAATAAAATCCAAAATTTTTTCCAAAATTCCGATGACATCTTATAGTATTAATGGTTTGAATCAAAATTATGAATAAGACCACAATAGCTAGAAACCAATTGATATGAAAATATATGGTATTTAACAAATTATCTTTTCATCTTTTTTTTTTTAAAAAAAAATTATCAATGATTTTACTTACTGCAAATAAAAACGTATTTATACCAAAAATTATTATTAACTAAATTCCAAAATTGACATCTAGACTCACTATCATTCATTAGATCAATTGGGCACCAATGATATATTTGTAAGAAGACCTCTAACCATTCACCTATATTACCCAAATATATGACGCAAATCAAAAGATGTGATTCACTTCTAATCTAAGGATCAAAACTAAATAAGTTAATTTGAAAATGATTATTTTAAAAACTCGTTCAAAATGGAATCATACTTAACCGCTTTAAGTACTAATAAAATATAAAATTGAAAAATAAAGTAAAGTAGAAAAGGGTTGGTCCATAATTCTTCTATGTCAGCTCCAAACATAATTATTTTTGTATGAGTGGCTAATATTTCCATAATCCAAATTGTATATGCTAATATTAATGTCATAACGATTTGAGCATGAACTAATGCTGTTTGAATTTGATAGGTCATATACATTCCTTAAAAAAAATGGTGAAGATTTTTTTTATTACTTTTAATATAAAATTTGCACTTATAGTAAAGTATGAATTACTCACTTTTGATATGTTTGTGTCTTGTAACCTTAAAATCTTTCAAAACTACCCAAGTTCTAAAGGACAAATCACTATTAAATTCGTAATCGTAACCGATGCTGAATACTTTTATTTGTACTTACTTATTTCTCCAAAGTAAATATGTTAATACAATTGATATTATTTCAAAGAGAATTGCTTCGAAAAGCAAACATAGTCCATATAATTTTACCATGTATATAATAGAACTTTCATGTGATGAACAAGTTGTAATTTGACATTCTGGAATCATCTTGACCCAAAAATAGTTAAGTATAATGGGGAATACATTCCAAGTGCAAAATACTATTCCATGTATTACAGATTTCTGCTGAAACTATTTAGAAAAATTTTTTTATTTTTTTATTTTTTATTTTTTTTTTTTTTTGAATAAAAGAAAATAAATCATATTAATCTATTAATAAATTTCATACCATTATTATTGCAGAAGTTGCATTAATCAGTGCAAATACAATTGTTAAAAACGAAGATTTGTTATCTGGATTCATTGTATACATCATATGTGCAAAAATAATTGTGGATGAAGAATAATAGATGATGCATACAATCATAAAGATTTTTTCTAAATAGGAAAATCTCGAAAAAAAGCGAAAATTAATATTGCTCGAATTCTGCAGAAAAGCATTTGGATTAAAAATTACCATTTTGCAAATTGTTAAAAGAAACTTTAAAAATTATATTAAAAACACAGTTACTAATATACAAAAAAAAAAAAAAAAAAAAAAAAGAAAAAAAAACCTTAAAACCCAAATTTGGTTCCTAAAAAAATTAAAATTGCGCCTCGGTTCACAGAATCCCAGAAGATTTTTTTCCGTGTGACAACTTCGCCATTAAATCAATGATTATCATTTACAAAATAAAATTATAAATTTGATGATCTGAAATTGGAATTCCAACTTCAGACGATTGATTAAACTTGCTTGTATTCGGAAAAAACAAAAAAATATATATATATATATATAAAATAATCCAAGGTTTTTACAGAGTTCTAACGACACCTTATCGTTATAGCGTTATTTAAATTATTAATAGAGTTAAAATTTTTCGAAAATAATTATGAAAGTTTTAACAATTTTGACAGATTTTCAGTGGTTTATTTTATTTTATATTATTTTTTGAGATGTCCGGGGTTTCAGATTGACTTGGTATAGGCCAAAAACACAACAATTTGCGACCATTTGAACCTGATAGATCCCAATTAACCTTATAGACTAACCATAATCCATCCTTTATGCATCTGCCCAGAGGTTGCCTTATAGACCATTGTCGGTTTTTATCCCGGCTAAATTCAACTAGATTCCCGAGACCACTGTCAAAGCTGTATAGAGGGATCATTTCAGCCATCGTAACTGTTAATTACTATTCTTACCTAATCGTGTAGTCATACCCATTGTAGGATTTTTCCTAATGGGATCGGGCAGTGGTTTATTATGTGTTTGCAATTTATATATTAATAAATTTGCAAAATTTAATGTTTGGATTGTAGTATTTCTAAAGTCTCGTATAAATACTCTAGTTAATATGGAAATAGTTTCTTACATAACTTACTTTGCTTTTGTTTGCTTTCTTTTTTTTGCATTTCAAATATTCAAATAATAATCAGGGCTTATAGGTCGGGTTAAATATGGGATTTCAATAAAAAGGAGTAAAGCTACAAGGATAAATATGATTTTTTTTTTAATAAAATAAAAGTCCAAGCTTACGTTATCTCAAACATACGTTTATTTAGATATCTAATATTCTATATAAAAAGCATGATTATTCATTGAAACAAGTTTTTCAAAAGAACTACTGTTACCATAATAATATATACTGCACATTTCTACTTAGAGATTATTTCGAGTCTTGAGAGAGTTCCGGACTCAATGTAAATTTTAAAGAAAAATTCACACGAATATTTTCTTTTAATATAATTTCTAATTAAATTAATTAAGTGGCCGTATCTTCAAATTATCAAAGAATGATGTACCTGCTGATAGGAAATTCAATTTTGATTTAATCAATAGTCCAAATAATTATTTTAGGTTTGATATTTCCCAATGAGATTTGCTTTGTTGAATATTATAACTTTTAAATTTTGATAACTTTAATACTATTTGATTAATAAAAAAGATTCTATAAGAGTTTTAATAATTGAAATAATTGTACTGAATATGACATTATTTAACACAAGTCCGAGAATATTTATAGATCGGAAAAGCCAACCACATATTGTTTATTTATTTATGAATAAAATAAAAATTGCCATAGATTTAGATTAGGATAATCTTAAATATAAATCAATGATTTATTTAGATAAACTTAATGAAGAAAATATATTTTTAACCGACTCGGATCACTAATTTAAACTAAGATTACATGATTGAAGTTTCGATAAATGTCTAAATCGAAACTAGTTGCTAAATTTATATATTAAAAGGCAAAATCGCGAAAGTTTTGATGGTTGGATATATCTTATTAACAAGAAGCAAACTTATTTAGAATAAACTATGTGCTTTATTTATTTAAAAGAAAATATTTAAGCTAGTTTATTTGCTTAGATATATACAAAAGTATATCATCATTGTAATCGAATTCTGGTAATTCTTGGTAACTTACTATTTAAATGATTGAAAAAATAATTCAAATATTATTGTTTATAAATGAAAAAATGATGACATGTTCTTAACTTACAATAAGTCCAAAATCTTTTCCAAAGTTTCAATAACATATTATAGTATTAATAGTTTAAATTAAAGTTATGATTAAGGTTACAGTAGCTAAAAATTATTTAATATTATTAATAAATGATATTATTTTCAAAAAAAAGTTAGAAATAAAATGATTTTATAATAAACATTATTATTAACTAAGCTCCAATTGATATCTTGATTCATTATTATTTAATAACTTATATGAAACTAATTATATATTGTAAGAAAACTTCTAAACATTCACCTATGTTTTCCAAATATATGATGTATATCAAAAAATGTGATTCATTTCTAATCTAAGAATAAAAACAAAATAAATTAGAAATAATTTTATTAAAAACATATTCAAAATTTAACAAATACTTAACTGCTTTAAATGCTAATAAAATATAGAATTGAAAAATAATATAATATATAAAAGGATTAGCCATAAATATTTTATTTCAAATTCTAATATAATTATTTTTCTATGAGCTACTAACAATTCAATCATCCAAACTGTTATGCTAATGTTAATGCTATATTATTTGAGTATAAACCAATACTGTTTGAATTTGATATGTTATATACATTCCTTAAAAAAATAGTAAAAATTTTTTAATAATTTTTAATTTAAAAATTTTACTAATAGTAAAACATAAATTACTCACTTTTGATATGTTTGTATCTTATAATCCTAAAATCTTTCAAAACGATCCAAGTTCTAAAGAATAAATAATATTATTAGTTTTTACTTATTTTTTCCAAAGTAAAAATGTTAATGCTATTAATAGTATGTCATGGAGAATTGCTTCAAAAGCAAAAAAATCCATCTATTTTAACCAAGTAAATAATAGAAACTTCATTTATTATAATTGATAAACAAGTTAGGCAGTTTGTAACTATTGTGAACCAATAATATTTAAATATAGTGGGCAATACATTCAGTACTATTCCATGCAATACCGATTGCTGCTGTACCTAATTAAAAAATTTTTTTATTTTATTCAGAGTAAGAGACATGTTAATCTTAAATATTCGTACTGTAAAAAAGCTTTACAAATAATATAAATGAATATAAGGTATCTGAATTCATTATGTAAAACATATGTGCATAAAGAATTGTAAAAATAGGCGATGCATACAATAACAAAGACTTTTTCTAGATAGGAATATCTGAAAAAAACGAAAATTAATATTAAAAGCAAAGATAAAAAAAAACACCTTTTAAATCCAGATTTGATTCCTTTAAAATTTAAGATTGCGCATCAGAAAGATTTTTTTTTTCCGTGTGACAACTTCGCCATACATTTACAGTATAAATTCGTTAAATTTGATGATCTTTGAAAATAGGAATTTGATTGTATTATAAAAAAAAAATAATCCAAGGTTGATTACAGAATTATTAAAGTTTAAAATTTTTCGAAAATAATTATGACAGTTTTGACAATTTCAGTGGTTTTAATTTGTGTTTTGCAAGGATTTCTAAACATTCGTGTAATTACTCTAGTTAATAAATTGAAATTTTTTACTTATTATAACTTTATTTTTGTTTTTCGTTTTCTTTCTTTTATATTCAGTTAGTAAAATAAGTCCAATTCAACAGACTCAAAAAAATTTTTTCCTCCCTTTCTATTGTAATACATCCATAACTAATCATTTTAAATGAATAGCATGATGATTCGTGGAATATAAATTTGTCAAAGAGCTACGTTACCATAAAATTAGCGTTCAGATATTATAAAAAAAAAATAAAATAAAAAAAAATATTATAATTAAAATTTATGCCGTCCATCTTTACTTAGAGATTGTTTCGGGTCTTGACGGATATCGAATTTTTTCTTCAAAATTAAAAATTCAACTAGGAAAGTGATACCCAAAGTTGACCATTGCCCCAATGCAATGGGACATCATAATTATTGTCAAAGATCAAAGTCATATCGCAACTTGGGGCACAATATTTTATCATACATTCGGAACTAATGTTGCCACCTTGTCACCTTCGTTGGTTTGGAAGCAGGAAAAATTACGTGAAGTGTTAATTTGGTTATTTTTAAAGGAAATATTTTCACATAAAAAAGAATATTTAAAATTGTGTAACTGTTCCAGTTTGTTATTATTATATGGAAAGAAATATATAATTCGATTACTCAGCTTTGCGTAAGATAAAACTTTTTATTGTAACTTTGAAAATTAGGTCTAGTATTACGTCATAATTAGAATTATTAGAGAAGGTTTTTTCGCCAATAGCTTATCCACACGATATATTATTATCCGTATCTACATTTATATTTAAAAGAATGGTTAAAAGTGTATGAATATCTTTATTTTCTTATTTTTTTTTTTTAAAAAAAAAAATTTCTAACCCGAAGTAAATTTTAAATTCAACATCTGACGGATAAGGATATTTTGTAAGTAAATTCTTAGATTAAAATATAAATATTTCAAATTATTTATTACATCAAAGAAGTTTCGTTTGCTATTTAAATTGAATTGAGTCTCAAGTCATAGTGAAATAGTATCATTCGTAACATGAATTTAATAGTAAACCGTCCATATTTTTGGACTTAATTATAAAAAAATTATGTGATGATTCAATACGTTTAAGCAATCGATTCTTTAGTTTCAGTTATATTACAATTACAGTAAAAATTAATTTTTAACGTCTGATATGAAACTTGTTAAAGAAGAAAAAAAATGAATAGAAAATATAGGTCGATTGCTATTAAAATCAAGTTACGAGACATAGTAAATCTTATGCATTGTCATTTCATCTAAAAAATTAATTTATATTAAATTTTGTAAAAGGAATTAATTTAGAATAAAATACTAAAGATCAAAATTTTTTAAAATTGTAAATTTTTTAATTAATTATTGGAAAAACTGTTTTTTTCAGTTTTTTTTTTGTTCTATTTTTTTTTATTGTTCTATATTATTGTTCTATTTTATTATTCTATTTTTTATTGTTCTATTTTATTCTATTTATTTTATCATTCTTTTTTTTGTTCTTTTTTTATTTGTTAATATATTTGTAAATAAAAATTTTTTATTTTGGGTTCTAAATTTTAAAGATCAGTCTGAAAGGCCATGATATTTCTATTAGTTAGCATTTTTTATTGTAAAATAATAAATAGAAATGTTAAATAAAAGTTTATATTTTTCAAATAAATTTATTAATAATAGCAAAATACTAATTTAAAATAATATAAATAAAGGTATTGTCTTAATCATTGGCACTTTATACAAACAGTTACATTATTTATTTTAGATTTCATTATTTATAATAAATCTAAACTAAATGAAGTCCAGTTCATTTTACTGATACACATTTTACCAATAATTATTTTACTAACAAAATACTTCACTGTCAAGATCATTTCACCAACAAATGTTTCACTGATGATTATTTCACTGACACAATCACTTTGCCAATATGTTTATTTTACTGATAATTATTTTACCACCAGTATCATTCTATTGACATGATCATTTTGTCGATAGTTTATTTATTTTTCTTTATTAAATTTTACATTATAAATTAATCATTAATAGAAAAATTAAATAATAAAACTTTATATTTAAAAGTTTATAATAAAAAAAAAGAAATTTTCTAATTCAATAATCATATACTATTAATAGTCATTTTACATATTTTATTAATATTACATATTAATTTAGATGGGCATATAATAAATAAATAAAAATATTTTAATCAAATTTATTAAAAAATATAAATTATAGCATTTATTGTATTTTAAATTTACAAAAATATATGTTTTTTGGAATATTGGTAAAATGTTTGTTGGTAGAATATTTGTCAGCAAAATGATTATGTTGGTAAAATAATCATTGGTAAAACATTTATTAATGAAATTATCTTATCTGTAAAAAGTTTGTTAGTGAAATAATAGTCAATAAATTGTTTGTTAGTAAAATAATATGGCCTGACTAAATGCTATTTAAATTTTACTAATCAACTGCATTTTCTATTAAACAAAAATTTATTAAATTTTATGAAAGATATTTAGTTCAAAAATTATTTTGATTATAGAATATTAGGCAAAAAACATAATGGTTAAAGAATAAATAGTTATTCAATTATTATTATATTGCATACTATCTATTATTATTTACTCTAAAGATTCCTATTCATTTTTATTTCTCTCTACTAAATTATGTAAAACTAATGAAAATTTTATTAAATCAGTTACTATTTTTAATATTTTTAGTCCATAATTCTTTTAATAATTAGAATCTATTCTTTAATCAACCAAATGCTTGATTTATTACAATTTAGAATTTACTATATTTTTATTGAATTTATTTTGTTTATTTTTAAGACTATAGCAAGTTTTTTTTTTATTAAACCTTTCTTCTTAATAAAATATAAAATATGAAATTTATAATATTATTTTTTATACTATTATTTAAAATAATTAATTGTTTTATTTTAAAGTTTTTCAAAACCTAATATCATCATAATGATTAATTTAAATAACAAGAGATAATAAATGTAATTAAATTTTATTATAATAAAAATTAATAACTTTAAATCAAGTTAATATTTATCTTTCTGAACCTATTTTTTATATGATCAATTATAATCTTATATTAAAATATTAGAGTTTTAATAGATAATAAAAAATCTATCAAACTAGAAATATTGTATATAATAAAGTACTTAAATTCTAAATAACAAAATAAAATAAATTATACATATTATATTTTAGAATTTCTTTATTTTTAATTATTTTATTCTAAAATATACATTATAATTTATTCAAATATATAATTATACATTTTATCTCTTAATCATTAAATAAATACTTTTTATATTATAACTTAATAAATAAAAAAAACCCTCAAAAATTCTACTATATAATTCAATTACTAATGATTCTATTTTCTTAACCTGCTGTAGCATAGCAGATACCAACTAGTTATCTTAAAAAAATTCATCCTGCTGGCCTAGCAACCCAAATGAATTTTTGTAAGATAATTAATAATAAAAGCGAAAAAAAAAATTTTGCTGGCCCAGCAGCCTGAATCTTTTTTTGCTTTTGCTATGAGAAAGAAAAAGAAATTATATTGTTAAAATATTTTAAGAGGATAATAAAAGTAAAAAATATACTTTTGCTGGCCCAGCATCTCGAGTATTTATTTTACTCTTATTACCAGAAAGGAATGTGAATTATAAAGAAAATTATATGTATCAATCTTCGACTCTTTCAAATGATTTTAAAAGATATTCTGGTGTAACATATTTTTGCTTAAATGGGGGGATTCACGAATACTGCGTTCGCATTATGACCAATATACTAACATTTAACGCGGGAACCTAAATATGATGTTTCAATATTCAGACATAACCTAAACTTATGACCATAATAAGAGCATACATAACAAGTTTCCTTGTATATACCATAAGGAGCAATCCAGTTGTTTTTCTTTGACAAGCTACGCCTTTTGCGGTATAAATTATGTCTTTTGAATTTGTATATACTATTTTGATAAATTATTAATCACTGCAACTTGATCTTGAAGAATTGATATGATATTCTTAGGTACTTGTACGTAATCATCTATAACATTATAGTCATTCGTCATTGTTAAATACGCTTATTGGTATTTGGCCTATTTAATACACATAAAAAGGAAAAGTTAATATAATACGTTAGCCTATCTATTAGGCTCAAAGCTTATATTTGATAAAACTGATGGTGTGGGACTAACTGTATGAGCAACAGTACTGGCACGCGATGTTCTATCTAAAGAAGATTGTGAAATAGATCTTTTGAGAATTTTGTGGTAGGAGAAGGCGACGAACTTGCTTCTTTATTGTTTTTTGAAACGTCAGCTGTAAGCGTGTATATTATGAACGAAGTTGTAAAGTTAGTCCAGGAAATAACCTTCGAACTTGTCGTTTTGTTTTTGTGCTATTCCTGTTCATCTATTATAATATTACCTTTTGAAATGGAAGTTGAGAAGTTAAACACTAAAATTTTGCTTTAAAATTTTTTTGGGGATTGAGATGTATTTATACTAGAAAAGACGCGTCAAGAGACGAGTTTTGCAAGTGCATGTGATCAGCCGTAAGAAAAGTCCTAAAGCTTCGACAAGATCCAATACATCGAAACACAGCTAATTTTAAAAATTTACGCGCTGATTTCTTTTTTTTTATTTTATTTTTTTTTTGAATACTATAAAAAAAAATATTAAATCGTAACGTACGGGGGTTTTTTTTTTGGAAAAGGAAAGGTGTTACGAGAATGGAAAATATTTGGACAATTTAAATAAATTGTTTAATAAATGAATAATATAATATATTTCAATAAATATAAATACAATAATTACAGCATTATATCGAATATTTATAAAAATACACGTGACCTACTTAGAAATTGAAAAAAATCTTAATTACACTAAAGACCAATTTCTTCAATAGGTAAACCAACATCAACTTTAGTATCTATATCATAATAATTTCATAGGTATCAAAGTCATAAAGGAAAAGATCTGGTCCAACATTATATAATTGATTATCAAAATTAAAGAAATTCCAACTCGTATAGTTCTCATATATAGATTGATTTACGTTGACCACCCTATCAATTTTCGTAGCATGTACATCTTGATCATTTTCAAAGGCAAATATGAAACTTTCCGAAGTAGATAACCATTGCTCTCTTCGTAGTGCATAACTAATCAGGTTATAACCTCCATAGATCTTTTTGGAATAAGCTTTGACAAACGGTCCCCGCAAATTACACTTATTATAAAATACCGTAAGATTTAAGTAAATCAGATTAAACTTGTGCCAATTGTTAAAAAAAAGGGATAATTGAATCGTTTCTATCTATCCAATTGGAAATAATGGTTGCAAGTATTGGTTTGATGATGTTTGACGCCAGTTTTCCAACGCGAGGCGTTAAAACCGTTGTCCTTGGTAGGGTATCCTTGCAATAAAATTCCTCAACTTCGTCAAAATATATTTAGAAATTATGGTAAGGACGAACTTTGTCAAAAAAATCAACACGATAAATATTCACAAACCGAATAAGGAGAATGAATGGACTCAACGTTTCCTTCAAAGTTTTGAAATTTCCTTGCTCCACTTTGATCTATCACAATTATTACTTCCTAATCCGGGAGTCTGTTCTATACCCCATTTGATTAAATAATCCCAGGCAACAATCTCTTCAATCTGAAAATCCTCCCGTTTAAGCAAGTCAAAATAATGTTTTTATCCAGTGATGGAAAGTTTTTCGATGAAACAAATGGTCGTGGGTCCGCACTGATTTCTTCATAACAATAATTTTGCAATCTCTTGCAGCTATCAAGTTTAAACACAGTATGAACAAAAAGAACGAGATTTATTTGAATCCAACTAGTATGTTTTTCGAACAGGAAATCTTGAACGTGCTCGAATAACTCTTCGAGAAGAAATTCAACTGATGCAATCAATAATCCAAAAATATTTTCACCTGATTGTACAGTTAAATCGAGTTCACCCATATAAATATATCTTCAAAATAATAAAAATTTATTTTTGAATGATAATCTTTATTTAATAAAAGTCTCATATTTGATATATGACCTACTTTAAGATCATGTTAAAAACAATCGGTGTGATATTCGGTTTATTAATCATGACCAGATTATTCTCCTTTGTAATCCAATTATATGAAAATGCACTTTTGAAATATGAAGAGCGTGCCCGTAAAATAACTGAATGTGCTCGAAATTCTTTTGTGTCTTGATTTTCACCAACTTGTATAACGACATTGTAATCATCTGCATCATTTAATATTAATGAAGGTCCTTTGAAAGGCCAGAATGAGATATTATAGTCATTTACAAAAAGAATTACGATAATTTTTAGAAAATTTTAAGCGAAAAAAAAAAATTGAAAAAAATACTTATAAAACAGTTTTTTCACAAATCATATTTAGTTAGGCTGTGAAACCGTAGTATTTCTAAGAAACTGTAATGTAATGTGTGTAACTTCACTTGACTTGGCTGTGAAAATATCTGAATTCATTTTGTAAAAATAAAAATTGATGAGGTATATTATCTATGGTTATTTGATGCCGCGCTGCAATTAAATGGCCGCCATCTAATTAATTAATAAATTATGATCATTAATATTTTATTTCAGAAATCAAATTATCTAAGTTATTAATATTAAAACATCTTTATCGGTCTGCGAAGGGCTACATTACGTGATAAATAACGTAAGATATTGGTGTAATTTATATTTTTTTATTTTCATTTTATTTCGTAATTCTATTATTGAATGAAACAGCATTACAAAAGCAAGAACAAAAGAAATTTATGTTCTATTCAAAAGAATAATACTATGTCTAATTAAATATGACAAGATATTGAAGAAGGTTCGAAGTTACCAATGATGTACCGTTAGGAAGAAAACACAGTTTTTCTTTATTTTTTCTCCTTTTTTTTTAAAAAAAAAAAATACAATAAAGTTAGGATTATTAAGACAACTCTATCGAGATTTCTTATTTAAAAACTGGGTTTTACGAACCTGCGCAAAATGCAGGGGTGCGTAAAATACATGTAAAATTTTAATTATTTCTTGTAATATTTGTTCGATTATCATTGAATTTTGCTAATACAATATTTTTACGCATGGTATAAAATTTTTAAAAATTTTATTAAAATTTAAGCAATGCATTTTGATTATTTGTACGCACCCCTATATTCAATAAAATAAATAAAATGTTTTGCAAATAATAAACTTTCATTACCAAATTTGTCTAATAAGCAAATAGCAAATAGCATTTCTCAAGTGTTGATAAATGAAAATTAGATTTTGTCTTCCCGGCTCCCTTCGGTCGCCGGGCTCAAATTACAGTAGTAATTTGAGCATATTAATTAAACATTCTAAATACTAATCATCATTCTTTCTTTTTTTCCATTGGGACATATATTATTATTATGTCCACTTTCATTGCATAATCCACATTTGCGAGTTGTTAACATTATTAGAAGTTTATAAAGGTCCTTTGAATCTTGCAGTATCTGGTGGTTTTCCTTTTGGAATCCTACTTTCACTATCATCTAGAATATTTTCGATAAAATCGTTAGGAAAATTTTCATTATCTGAGTTATAATTTGAAAGTGATTCACACTCATTTTAAGGATATTCAACAATAAGGTTTATAAAAAAAAAAAAAAAATAAGGAAAGAGAGAATAAAAAGAAGAGAGAGAAAGAAAAGAAGCGTGGGTACTGTACAATTGATTAAACAATTGATTTATATAAAAGTCTAATAAATGATTGTACACATGATCATATGGACCGCGCATCAAAAAAACTACGCATGGGATGTATATTACGCACCCATGTAAAATTCATATTTAATAATTTACTATACGTGCATAGAAAAAAAAATATATATGGGTGCATTTGCGCAAAATACAAATTTCCTTAAAAACTACCTTAAAAAAAAAAAATTTCTACCGTGTCCATAAGACTCGATTTTCTTTTTTTTTTTCTCAGTTTCTGACTACTTCTTCTTTAATCAAAGGTAATTTTATTTTATTTGAAAATTTACTGCGTTTTTTCGACCAGTTGGTTTAGAAACAAATGACTTAAATAGAATCAATTTCGATTTCATCAAATCTACCGAATTAACGTATTAAAAAAAAATTTTTTATTAACAATTAACTTTAATGATCGATTGTATTAATATAAATAGCACAAAGTTATAGTTTCTGGAACACATTTCTTTAAAGTAATTTTTAACCCAATATCTGGCATACTATCAAAGGATTCTTTTTTTTGTGGGGTAGGATGATCTTGAAGGAATAATTAATACATATATGTTTATAAAAGTAAGGTGCACAAGTTTTTAGTTTAAATTCAATTCTTGAGTTTCCGCGAAAGTTGTAATAGGTAACATGAAAGCTAATATTAAAGATTTCATACACTGCATTTATTGTCCAAAGCATAGCGGAGGACAAGGCAATGTTCGTAACGTAGATCATCAAATGAAAAGAACAATATTGTAATTAGCTTAAAATCTGATAATTTTTTTATTACAAAAGATAACCAAAATTAAAATTCTGTGATTCTATGATAAAGATTATTACGATCAAAGTATTAACAATAAATCATTTCATTCTACTTTATTGTTTTATTTTTATTTTTATTTTTTTTTTTAAAAAAAAGAAAAAAATCTATTCTTCGGAAATATGGAATCAAGATAATATACACACACCAGGCAAAAGAATTATTTTTTAACTACACTAAGACTTCAATTTCTTCAACAGGTACATGCACATTTCTGCTAATATTACATAAATTATTATAATTTCCAGAGTTACTTTAATTAAGATTTTGTCCGTTTGTAGCTACTATAATTCTCTCGTATCGACATGTCTATATTAATTACCCTACCAAGTTTAATGTTATGTATATCATGATGATTTTCAAAAGAAAAGATAAAACTATCAGAAGATAACCAATGATTGTTTCTCAACGCATAACCAATTGGATTATAACCTCCATAAATTTTTTTTTGATCGAACTTTAATCAACGCCACAAATGGTCCTTGTTCACAACACTTATTATGAAACATTTACGATCAAAACTAACCCTACTTTTTAGGTAAATAAGATTAAAATTATATGGTTATTAGATGCAAGAACGTCGAATCTTTTTTATCAATCCAATTAGCTATAACGGTTGTGAGCATTGGTTCAAATTATGTTTGATTCTAGTTTACTCACGTGAGGCGGTAAAGTTGATAACTTTGGTAATGTAATCTCTTCATAAATATTATGAGGAATGATAGCTTTATAAGGTCGAACTTTATCATAAAAATCAGCACTAGTATTTTCATAATCGAATAATTTGAATGAATTGACTTAATGTTTTCTTCAACGCTTCAAAATCCTCTTGATTCCATGTAGCTACATCACACTTCTTGCTTTCCAGTTCAGGAGTCTGTTCTATACCCCATTTAATTAAACAATCCCAAGCGACGATTTCTTTAATCTCAAGATCCTCACTTTTAAGCAATTCAAAAAGGATATCTTTATCTAGTAATAAGTGATAAACGATTCTGAATCGGCACAAATCGATCCAAGACAATATTCATGCAGGTTCTTGCAGCTAGAAAGTTTAAACACAGTATGAAGTACGAAAATAAAATTTTGTTGAATACAGCATAGATGTTTTTCAAATAAGTAATCTTGAACATGTTTGAATATCTCTTCCATTAGTAGCTCATCTGAAGAAATTATAGTCCTAAAATATCTTCGCCCGACTGCATTGACAAATTAGTTCTCCTGGATAAATGTAACTTTAAAAAAAAATAATTATAAAATTAAAAATTTCATAACAAAAAATAATTTAAAAATATTTGTTGAATATAACTTACCCTAAGATCATGTTCAAAACATTTGGAGTGATATTTGGTTTATTAAAGATTATATATTATCCTTTTTTGTAATCCAATTAGACGAAAAAGCACTTTGAAATATGTAGAGCGTGCACGCAAAATAACTGAATGAGCATAGAATTCTTTTGCATCTTGACTTTCACCAACTTGAATTATGACATTGAAGTCATTGACATCAGTTAATATTAAGGCAAGATGTTTGAAAGTCCAGAATGGAATATTGAAGTCATTTTGAAAAAAAAAAAAAAATTGCGTATTTTTTTGTATGTTTGGGAAAGAAATGAAAAAAGTTGAACCGATCCAAAAAAGGTTAGAAGTAGCGAATTTAACCTGTTTTAACCGTTGAGACAATTTCGAACATTCTGGAATAAACCACATTTTCGTATTACTTGAGCTTACTAATTATTAATACGGTTATGTAAAGTTTATAGTTTAAAATCAAATATAGTTTAAGCAACACAGTACTACTGTCAACCTCTTATTCCCGAACAAAGACTACATTTTTAATGACCCTCAAAGTGCAAATAAAAATCAAGGAGACATATGACGTCTCAACTTACATACAATGAATCTTCGGAAACAACCAGACACAACCCGCGCAAAAGGCCATAATCTGCTACGCCAGGCTCAACTGGAAATGCAGGGGGTTTGTTTCCCTTCTGGAATGAATACACGCAGGAAGAATCGA